GAGCTCGATGTACACACCTCGTCACATAAGTGAGCCCCGCGGGACGAGTCTGTCATTTTTGGGCGAACAACGGCAGCGCCAGATCCCAGAGGGGATCGAGGGCCATCCCGCCGCTCTGATTGCCACCCCCGGGTCTCCAAGAGAAGTTCCCCTGTTATCACGGGTGAAGTCTATTCTGCTCTATCACATTACATACCATATGGCTGTGCAGTGCTTGTATAGTCAGGACCGCAAACGTGCCGCCAGCAGGGATCGGTTTCACCGAGCAGCCTGTGATGAGAAAGATAAACAGGAGAACTTGCGAACACGCTCTTTGAGGGCAGCATCACGGTGTCACCGCAGACACCCTACTCCTCCTGCCCAGGCGGCAGCCAGCGCTGGGCCGGCCGGAGGAGCGGGTAACACTCACCCACGGGGTAGTGAGGCCGGGTGGAAAATGCACGCTTGTTTGCCAGCACTTGGCCTGGGGAAAATTAATTTAGATTTATGGGAACGTCTAGTTCCCAGTGAGCACTTGGAGATGTTAAAGCTGTCGCTCCTGTTTCAAAAAACAACTCCTTCATCTGTTACCTCCTCAACATGTTAAATGTTATTGAGGAGTTTTTTCAACCTTCATCTTTAATCTTAACAAATGCTGTTGTTTATAAAAAGATTTTTAAACATGTGAGACATTGAATTGCACATTCTATTATTTGTTTTGTGTCTGCATATATACGTCCGATTTTTCTTCAGACAGACCTGACAGAAGCACAAAACCATAGACAGAAAAGAATATTTGAGGTGCTCAGAACCAGCTAGGACAATATGTGACAAATATTTATCTCAGCTGTTAAACAAAAAATCAAAAAATTAAATCCAGTTTAGAAGATTATCTGGTGACATTCCACCTCTGGTTGGCAAGAGTTCCTTGCTGCAGTCAGTTTCTTCCCATCCTTCTGATAGAGTATACGCAAAAAAAATGTCAAAAACCTCATTTATGTTAAGACAAACTATTTCCTCTGCTTTGCTATTCTTTTTCTAGACTAAACAAGCCCAGTTTCTTCAACCTTCACCAATTTCCCTGTCTTGTTGCTCTTTCCTCTGGATTCTTTCCAGTTGCTCAGGCTTTTCCTCACACACAGTGGTAACAGCGCAAGGCCCTCCCCAGAAGAAGCCTCTCACAGAATCGTGGAATCGTTTCGGTTGGAAGAGACCTTTCAGATCATCAAGTCCAACCATTAACCCAGCACTGCCAGATTACCAACCACTAAACCATGTCCCTCAGCACTACATCTACATGTCTTTTAAACACCTCCAGGGATGGTGACTCCACCACTTCCCTGAGCAGCCTGTCCCAGTGCTTGGCAACCCTTTTAACGAATAATTTTTTCCTAATATCCAATCTAAACCTCCCCTGGTGCAACTTGAGGCACAGGAAGCAGCTGCGGCCCCCGGGACGGCTCTGGGCTCCTCAGCCCTCCCCATAGGATCAGGCCTCAGCTTTACTTTGTGAGCAGGTGTGAATGAATAGTTAGCTATATACTATCTACAATACATAACATTGTCTATAGAAATACAATAATTAATCGAAAAATAACTAATAATATTATATTTTCAGTTAGTTGGCATAGCTGGGAAAAATCCCAGGGACGCTCTCCAGACAAACAAGACTTCAGTGACTCTGGGCAGCGGTACCTTCCCTCCAACTAATACCATTGATTTTTTTATCTGCGCCATTTATTTATCTGGACCAATCCATATTTTCTCGCAGTGCTCCTCCCACCTTTACCTGAGGGAGCTTCCCCGCCCCGGGACC